TACGGAAACTAAGTAGCACACTCCATTTTTTTTAAATGAGTTACTTTCAGTAAGTAGAAATTTTATAAAGAAAATAGGAATTTCAGTTTTGAAATTTGTTCTTCTCTRAAGTATTCGTTTGTGATCTTGCTCCATTTAGAATGTGGTCTTCAGGTGTGTTCGACTAACTTTGTTGGCGATATAGTTTAGACAAGGATTGCCACGTAAATCGCATTTTCGCTTCTAATTTATAAAAAAGGAAAATCAACGGTATTTTTTAAGCAACTAATTGACATCTACAGGGTCGCAGGTATTTAGAATGCATTATTTAAAGAAAAACATCTTTTCTTCGCAACTTTCAAGGCTKACAAAATTTCACTGACAAATTGCTTASGCAAAAATATTGCGCTTCATGCATATTTGTCTTAAATGCAAGTTAATAGATTCCGAGGAACAGAGCGTCGATTTGTAAATAAAATTTTCGTTCACTTTTAATAGATTCGGAAACAGTTCTGCTAATACCAAAAACAGTTCGGGTTGAGTGTTTTTTAAGATCGACAAATCCAAACTCCCGACTACTTAGCTTGCAGTTCCTAGAAGGCGCTAGCTGTAATAGTCTGGGGCTATTTTAAACATCAGAATTTCCAAAGCAAAGAATGTGCACTTTAATCAAGTCGGTATCTCACATAGTTTTCAAAATGTTTCACATTGAAATAGAGGTTTTTTATATTGCCAAAAACATTGTAATATTGGAAAATTTACAAATTTTCTTGTTTAAAATGCCTCCGGACTATTGTAGCTGGCGCCCTTTCGAAATTGCAAGGTAAGTAAGATAATATTTGGATTCCTCGTTCTAGAAAACCCCCGAACACTAAATTTGTTGGTGGTAGTGAAACTGGTTAAGAATCTATTTAAAAATTGTTTTTTTTCTACGTTTTGACACCTGTATCCCTCAAGCTATTAACTTTTGGAAAAGACAAATCTACCGAGAACAAAATATTTTTTCTTAAGCAATATGGCAGTAAATCTTGTCAAATTCGTTGAGGACCACCCTGTACCTGTTCAACCATTTAATGGAAATTTCTAACAATTAATATAAACAAAGATCGGCAAACGTTTAGTTGCGTGCCTTCTTGTGTTTTAGGAATATTTTCAATTCCAATTTAAATAGTGCCATAAACAATTTGAGGTCG